AAGCTCTATTTGTGGGGGAAAAAAGCCGCAAATTTTATTTGGGTACAGTGTTGCATAACTGCGCAATTGTCAGTTGAATTAACGCAGCGCCGTAACGGAAAAAATGGCCTGGTCAGGAAGGGGGGTAAATCCTCTGGAGGGCAAGTGGTTAAAGCGGAGCTCCACCCAAAAGGGGACGTTTTGCTTTAAGGCCTCCGCTCCTGTTTGTGAAATGGAGCTTTTGGGGAGGAGGGGGGTACCCGCTCCCACTTTCACGGCGATCGGAAGGGGAAGTTCTCTCCCCCCACCTGCAGTCTTCTGGGACACGTGACAGGTTCCAGACGCCTGTGGGACCATTTTCAGTGTGCAGCGCCGCTTGCGCATGTACAGTGGGCACTCGGCTGTGAAGCCGCAAGCTGTCACAGCCGGGTGCCCATAGTAAAGATGCCAGCTCCAGGGAGAGAGATCACAAATTGAAAACCGCTGGGCCAAGCCCTGGATCCTGGGACAGGCGAGTGGCTGTTCTTTAAAAGTCAACAGCTACAGATTTTGTAGCTGCTGACATTTCATTTTTACACAGAAGATTATAGCTCCGCTTTAAGATAGCATCTGATCCACGTTAGTGGATGCTGACAGGAAGAGAGAGCAGAGTGAAAAGAGGGATGACCCCATCAGTCTGCTGCTGCTCCTTCATTGTCCAGCCAGTAAGCTGTGGATGGACAGAGTTCACCACTTTTATTTTGTAATTTGTAAAAGAGAATGTGGTATTCACATACCTTACTTTTTCTTTGTATATCGCTGTGTAAATCTCAAGACCGGATGTACCTAAAAAAACACATATAAGGGGCTGCTCCACCGGCAAAAATGTCTATATGTATTTGGCTGTTTAATCAAAGTTCAGCTTTATAGCATAACACCTCACCATTCTGGTGTCATTGGCCTTCTTTTGGCTTTCCCCACCAGAGTCTATGGAGAATGCATTCTAGAAGGGGTACTGTAAAGGGAAGATTTATTTATTTATTTCAGGAACTTATATAGCGCTGTCAATGTACGCAGCGCTTTACACATACATATATATTGAACATTCACATCAGCCCCTAACCCTCAAGGGGTGTACAATCTAAGGTCCCTAACCCTCAAGGGGTGTACAATCTAAGGTCCCTAACCCTCAAGGGGCGTACAGTCTAAGGTCCCTAACCCTCAAGGGGCGTACAGTCTAAGGTCCCTAACCCTCAAGGGGCGTACAGTCTAAGGTCCCTAACCCTCAAGGGGCGTACAGTCTAAGGTCCCTAACCCTCAAGGGGCGTACAGTCTAAGGTCCCTAACCCTCAAGGGGTGTACAATCTAAGGTCCCTAACCCTCAAGGGGCGTACAATCTAAAGTCCCTAACCCTCAAGGGGCGTACAATCTAAGGTCCCTAACTCACATTCATACATACACATGCTAGGGCCAATTTAGACAGGATCCATTTAACCTACCAGCATGTCTTTGGAGTGTGGGAGGAAACCGGAGCACCCGGAGGAAACCCACGCAAGCACAGGGAGAACATGCAAACTCCATGCAGGAGGCGCCATGGTCGGGAATCGAACCCTTGACCCATTTACTGCAAGGCAGACGTGCTAACCACTAAGCTACTGTGCCACCCAGATCACAGGGGGTCCAAGCTGGCACATTGGGATAAGAGGTGGAGGAAGATGGATCCCCATGTATGGTGTACAGCAACCTTGAAACACAGAGCAACCCTTGAAATATCTTTCTGATCTCAGGGAAGCCCTGCTGAAAATGACTGTATCTACAACTCCTTATACATCAGTGTGATGGTCATTGGGAAGGATACTCCTTATACTAATGGTCAGTGGGAAGGATACTCCTCATACTAGTGTTCAGTGGGAAAGGATACTCCTTATACCGGTGGTCAGTGGGAGGAAGGATACACCTTATACTGGTGGCCAGTGGGAAAGGATACTCCTTATACTGGTGGTCAGTGGGAGGAAGGATACACCTTATACTGGTGGCCAGTGGGAAAGGATACTCCTTATAATGGTGGTCAGTGGGAGGAAGGATACACCTTATACTGGTGGTCAGTGGGAGGAAGGATAAACCTTATACTGGTGGTCATTGGGAAGGATACTCCTTATACTGGTGGTCAGTGGGAGGAAGGATACACCTTATACTGGTGGCCAGTGGGAAAGGATACTCCTTATAATGGTGGTCAGTGGGAGGAAGGATACACCTTATACTGGTGGTCAGTGGGAGGAAGGATAAACCTTATACTGGTGGTCATTGGGAAGGATACTCCTTATACTGGTGGTCAGTGGGAGGAAGGATACACCTTATACTGGTGGCCAGTGGGAAGGATACTCCTTATACTGGTGGTCATTGGGAAGGATACACCTTATACTGGTGGCCAGTGGGAAAGGATACTCCTTATACTGGTGGTCAGTGGGAGGAAGGATACACCTTATACCGGCGGCCAGTGGGAAGGATACACCTTATACCGGCGGCCAGTGGGAAGGATACACCTTATACCGGCGGCCAGTGGGAAGGATACACCTTATACCGGCGGTCAGTGGGAAGGATACACCTTATACCGGCGGTCAGTGGGAAGGATACACCTTATACCGGCGGTCAGTGGGAAGGATACACCTTATACCGGCGGCCAGTGGGAAGGATACACCTTATACCGGCGGTCAGTGGGAAGGATTACTCCCATATAGATAGCTAAAAATATCAATGATGTCAGTAGGAACTTGTCTGAGAGGCAGATATTGCTCAAGCAACCCCTGGCAACCTCTGGAGGAACCCTAAGCATCCATGGAATCTGGGTTGAGGACTTCTGCTGTACAGTAAAAAACCTTGCTGGGAATCGCATGCAGTCCAAAACAAGAAAAAAAAGAAAATGATGGGTGTAGCTTCACTTTAAGACATTCCATCCTGGCTGTGACTAGTTATTTCACCATAGCTGGGGAGCTGCATGTTTCTTAGCTGTGGTGTAGAATGTCAGTGACGGAACAGGAACAGCTGGAGGCGTGGTGCATTCAGAATTGGTGATCCACAGTAAATATGCTGCTCTGATCTCTGTCCTCTACAGCCTCAGCTGGCTCTCATATAATGTTAGGGTGGATCACATTGACGTAAGTTCTAGCATTTACAGTTGTTTGCATTACAATTTAAAGGCCTCAGCAGCTGGTCTTTGCTGTGTGTGAAGGTGACAGTGATCAGCGACTTACAAGTCACAGCAGCTTACGTTTCCTATGAATCAGCCAAAATTTGAATCCAGAGGGCCCCTGCAGGCACCACCGGGCCCAACAAAAGTCAGCTTGACTGAGCCAGGTGGAAAATTGGTTCACCATTGACTGCATCCTGTCTATCTAATGCGGCGATTTGCTCATATTAGATAGATATCTTCTCATTTACTGTTGAGTCTGCAGTAAAGGAAGTGAAGGGATCTACTGGTCATCTGTATATTGGGGAATGGGAGGAGCTCCCAATGTTTTGAACAAAACATGCTGTGGTTAAACGTGTGGAGGAATCTAAATATATAATCCAAGGCTGTTCTAGTTTACAGAAGTTGTATATTTGCTCACTTGTTTATCTTTACTGGCTTTGCCTGACTCTTCATCTAGAATGTTGGGCAACAGAGGTACGGGCAGACAGACACTGAAGTGCAGGAAGAGTAATGAATCACGAGGGTGCTCATAGTACGTTGAAAACTACAAGCCGTCTGCTACGGTGACAGACAGGACTTGTAGTTCATTCATTCACATACCTGTGTGAATGAATAATGTGGCTGTGTGGGCGGAGCCCCGTACAACTGGACTGTTTTTAAATTGTGACAGCAAGTGTGGGGAGAGGATCCCCTGCCCGCTGACACGGGGATCAGAGAGCACGAGGTGAGGTGCACAGTAACACCTGGAATACAGGTATAATATGTTACTAAAGGTGACCTTATCCTTTAAAGCAAACCAGCTGCTCTGCTCTATATAGGCAAAGTCCAGTTCACTTTAAGGTGACCCCTAACTCTTAAGCTGAAGAGCTCATTTGGCCATACTTCTCCTGGGGATCACAGGAGGGCACTTAGTTCCTTACTCCTGTTACCCATGTTCAGCCAAAAGGGGGGCTAAAGCCCCCTATCAGCTAATGTCACGGAGCCCGTCCAGGCTCTGCAGGGATCTCGACAATAATGTTGAGATCTGCCAAGATAACTGATTGGCAGCTGGCTCAGCCTATAGACACATTGCTGAGAGCCTGAGCCAGTTGCTCCCACCTCCTCCACAGTCCAGTTCTCCAGTGAGCACTGGAGGGGCAGAGCAGAGAAGCGGAGACCAAAAGTCACTGCTTTCTGCTCACTAAAGACCAAGAACCGTGAGTGATCAGTGGTCATGTGATTGCTCTGTTCTTGGTCTCAAAGCTGGCGGGGGACAGCTGCAGCTCAGATCAATGCTGCAACCCATCTAGGTGAGTATAGATAGTTGGTTTTTTTTTTTTTTTTTTTTTTTGTATCCCGCACTTCCATTTTCAGACTTGCAGCCATGACTGGTTTTGTATAAAGACTGTTGAGTGAACTCCTCTGGCCTTGTAGGTTCTTTTCACTCAGAACTGGCCTTGTAGGTTCTTTTCACTCAGAACTGGCCTTGTAGGTTCTTTTCACTCAGAACTGGCCTTGTAGGTTCTTTTCACTCAGGTCTGGCCTTGTAGGTTCTTTTCACTCAGATCTGGCATAGCCCATGGACTTTCCACCAAGAAGAAAAAAAGAAAAGGAAATATAGTTTATAATGCATGGTTTCCCAAAACAAATTATTGACACTAAAGCATTTCTTTCTTTTTTTTTTTGTTAAAATAATAGAGGTTTATACTTACCTGCTCTGTGCAATGATATGAGGTGTTTTATGTGTTTTGTAACATCAGTTACAGTCAGTATATAGTCAAGTCTTTATGTTTATAGGTCATTTAAATATATACAGTGTATAATGATGATTGGTTTGGGTTTCACCTCTTGCACGTATTCCTGTCCTTCACAGGTTCTTTTGAAGTCTGATGCCCCAACAGGTGATGTTCTATTGGATGAGACTCTGAAGCACATTAAAGCCACAGATCCTGCAGAAACTGTCCAGAGCTGGATAGAATTACTCACTGGTAAGGTTTGATTACTATCTTCAGGGGCCGCAGCTTCTTGTATGATCTAATGAGAAATCTACAGCATTGTAAACTATTAGCATATTGTGGCATAGAATTCTAAACATGGCTAGACTGAGTTGTCTTCCGGGGCAGCATCTGAGAGGGCTTCTCCCACCTAAAACAGGAAACACAGTCCACCATTAAAAAACGTTTTCTGCTCCTCAGTTCTTGTGTTTTCTTCAGACCAACAGGAGCAGCACATTTTTTTTTGTAATTTTGTAACCAGGTCACTCTGCTGGTTGTAAGGGCCTCACGATCTGGCTGCCTTCTGAGGCTTCACGGGAGGCTAGGCAGTGGAGGAAGGGGTTGACAAGACTTTCATGGTCCATCTTGGTCTCTTTCAGCCTGAGGTTTCACTCCCAAGGATGGGGGGGGGGTAAGCAAATATCCCCAGCTGTAGGTCACTTGAGGCATCTCCCTTCATGGCCCCCCAGGCATACAAAACAGCGATTAGGTGACCTCTGTTACCGTTTTGTGCTGTGCATTCTGTATAGTTTTTTTTTTTTTTTTTCTTTTGCATGCCTCCTCACCTTCCTACAGGCTCTGCCCCCTTACCTGACCTGGGGTTCCCAAGATGGAGCCAGGGGCTTCCTTTAACGTCGTTTGTTGCATTTATGGTCACTTCCAGTGATACACTTTTGGTTGGTACCATCTTAGTGAAGGAAGGAACGGATACAGGGATGCAGTTCCACTTATGTCACTTCCGATGGCTCCCTGATTGGCTGAGGCTCGTAATGTCACTTCCAATTTCACTGACTTTTTGGTTCATCAGCTGGGGAACATGGCTTAGGGCCTCAGCAAGGCTATAAACGACACCTGCCCCATGAGCAGTGCTGTTTGTAAAGCAATCAGTGGAAATGAACAGTGAGCAAAGAAGTCAGTGTTTCTAAAGTATGTTATGATGGTTGGTAGATTCTGACCTCTTCTAAGGAAATACTGTACTGTGTGCCAGTTATATGGGAGTGGTCTGCTTAAATTGTTATACACGTTAGGTTCGATTCCCAACCACGGCACCACCTGCCTGGAGTTTGCATGTTCTCCTTGTGCCTGCGTGGGTTTCCTCCGGGTACTCCGGTTTCCTCCAACACTCCAAAGACATGCTGGTAGGTCATTTGGCTCCTGTGTAAATTGTCCCTGGTATATGAATGTGAGTTAGGGACCTTAGATTGTACGCCCCTTGAGGGTTAGGGACCTTAGATTGTACGCCCCTTGAGGGTTAGGGACCTTAGATTGTACGCCCCTTGAGGGTTAGGGACTGATGTGAATGTACAATATCTATGTAAAGCGCTGCGTAAACGGATGGCGCTATATAAGTACCTGAAATAAATAACGTAAGCCTGATGGAGGTTTGAGGTTGAGGTGGCTCAAAAGGTCACAGGACTAGGATACATTGAGACTTTTTTTTTTAAACAAATTTCTAATCAGAATTCTAGTCATAAGGGGACAGTCATAGATATTTAAGATGTAAAGTAAGAAACCACAGTAATGGTATAACACAATTTTTGTGAAAGAAAGTGCTGCAAGCGATGTCTACTTTAGCACACAATATCAATAGAACAAAAGGTGCTGCACTTCAACAACTACAAAAAACCCACCAATGTGCTTATTGTGCATACAAAATAAACACAAGAAAAACAAGAAAGTCCACTTTAATCTACAAGGTCTACTTGAAGATCGTATAGTGCATGCCAGACTCCGCCATAGGTAATTCACAAAAGGAGAATTGTACTGGAAGTGCTTCTGCTGTGGACCTGGACTGGCTGTATGGCACATTGTAATAGACGTGTAGAGCACAACAAGTGTGCAGCACGTCCCTTACTGGAGCAAGGCAAAAGATGCATCTGGTGAGAGATGAGACATGGGCAGAAAAATGAGAACTGGGCATGGAAGTCCAAACACCAGCATGTCATAAGCTTCCAGTGCAAACGTTTTATTGATCAAACAGCAGAATGAAAGTTTGCATCCTTGCTTGTGTGGTTTGGTTAGTCCTGACCATCAGTCATGTTTGCTATGACTAAGGCCATGGTTGGCCAAAAGGTGACTGCAGGGATGCGATCTTTCATTCTGTGTTGTGATCAATAAAACATGCAGGTGTTTTAACTTTGAGGATGTGCACCTATGAAGAGGCTCAGCGGTGAACTGTTTGTGAGCCGATTACTGTGCTTGTGGGTATGTAGCGGAGGCCTAGAGGACAGATGGGTCATCCGTTCCTTCTGTCTCAATGGGTAATTCATGAGTTTTTGTCGGTGAGTCATATTGTTAATTACTCTGGGAGGCCAAGTACAACATAGAGTAAGATACAGGACACTGCAAGCATAGAGGAACGTCAGCTTCTAATTACAGCTGAGCACTGGTTCACAAATATGTGATTTGTGATGCATTTTCAATTGCACTGAATCGCATGACATGGCAGGTAGCATGTGTTGCTATGGAGGTGGTTGACATGCATGCGATCCACTCGCACAGCAATTTGACTGTGTTTGTAAAAAGAGGTCTTGTTCAAGTTTTGAGCGTTGCAAATTCACAGTTTATGCAAGTATAGTGACATTCAGGGATGGCAATTCGCTTCTTAGGCATTTTTGGATAGTAGAGGATTAAACTGAGAGAGAGAGAAAATTGGATGCTTGAACCGCACTACAAAACTGTGCGTTTTTTTTTTTTTTTGTTTTTTTTTAACGCATATGTGTGAACTTAGGCTAAAAATAACAAAAATAGACTTTCGAGATGAGATTTCTTTCTGACCCCCTTAGCCCACACTACATTTTATTAATTACAGCTGATGATAGTATTGTAGAGTTATCATAAAGAACCCCTTTCTATACTGATGGTGATATTTCATTTCCTTCATGTTTATTTAATGCCTTTGTGCTTTGCAAATGAATATATCCCAAAAACTACAGTTGTGTTCAAAGGTTTGCACACCCTGGCAGAAATTGTGAAATCTTGGCCTTGATATTGAAAATATGACTGATCATGCCAAAAAATGCTCTTTTACTGAAGGATGATGATCATGAAGCCATTTATTATCAAATAGTTGTTTGGCTCCTTTTTAAATCATAATGATAACAGAAATCACCCAAATGGCCAAAATCAAAAGTTTCCCTCCCCTGGAATGTTTGGCCTTGGTACAGACACACAAGGTGACACACACGGGTTACAATGCCAATTAGAGGTTAATGTCCCACAGCTGTGGCTTTTTAAATTGCAATTGAGAAAAGGTATTTAGCAGTTTATATTTACTAAAATAATTGCATTTCATGTTGCGTGTACTATGGGAGACCAGATATAGTGAATGCAGGGTCCGTGGAGAGAGTTAATATAGTGAATGCAGGGTCTGGGGAGAGCGGATATAGTGAATGAAGGGTCCGGGGAGAGCGGCTATAGTGAATGCGGGGTCCGGGGAGAGCGGATATAGTGAATGTGGGGTCCTGGGTTTAGTAACACTTTAAACTACATTACCCAAAACAAATCCTGACTTTTTTTTTTTTTCTTTCTTCATATCAGGTGAAACTTGGAATCCATTCAAGCTTCAGTTTCAACTGCGCAATGTACGAGAACGCATTGCCAAGAGCTTGGTGGAGAAAGGAATTCTAACCACAGAGAAGCAAAATTTTCTACTCTTCGACATGACCACCCATCCTGTCACCAACACCACTGAGAAGCAGCGGCTGGTGAAGAAACTGCAAGAATGTGTACTTGAAAAATGGGTTAATGACCCGCATCGCATGGACAAACGGACACTAGGATTGCTGATACTGGCTCATGCCTCCGATGTTCTGGAAAATGCCTATTCCTCCCTGCCCGATGACAAATATGATATGGCCATGAACAGATCGAAAGATCTCCTAGATATGGATCCTGACGTAGAAGCCAGCAAACCCAATTCCACCGAAATGATCTGGGCCGTATTGTCCGCTTTCAACAAATCTTAAGATATGTGGACAAAGATTAGACACAGAAACAATGTAACCGTATGATTCTCTAGAACGGCCCATGGGTTACGGAGAAGAACGGAGCTTAAGTGCTGTGTTTTAAACCGAGAATATGAACTTTGGATTTCCCAGTTTGATGGCCCAACTTTTTAGTTCTTCACCTTGAGCCTCCACTCTTTAAAAAACAAAAAGAAACACATTTTATGAAAGATGGACATTTGAGGCTCCTTTGTTGATGAAGCAATTGCATTTTCATCAAATAAGCACCAGTCTGGGTGGGAAAAGAGTGGCTTGACCAATATTTTACTGGATCCATCCCTTTAGTCGATTTCATTGTGTTCCTAAGCTTTGTAGTGATAGATATAAGGGAGACCATTCCACTTGTCGATCTCAGAGCAAGCTGAATTATTCTAGAATTACAAAGGACAAACTACCCACGGTGCTCTTGGGGACTGCAGATTAAGCCCAAGCCAACACACGGCATACAAACTTCTGTTGTTGCCTGATTCCTATAACCCACCCTCAGTCTTGTCAGTCGTTAACTTTTTTTTTTTTCGTCTATCGTTCCAGCTTATCTGCAGCTGCCCTACTGTGGGCAAAAATGGGGAGGTGGATTTTGTGTCCATATGTTTTCTGTAACAGTTTTAGGATTTGTTTTTAGGCCAATAATGGTATCTCATTTGATCTTATTACTAATCTCAATGCAGCTTTCGAAGAGGTAAAAAGTATGATAATCTTCCTTTTGAAAATCTCAAGCTAGTTTATAGTTTTGACGAAAAAAAAGATTATTTTTGCATTTGGTCCAGTTGACTACCCGGGCCTTTTTTTTTTTTGTCATATAGTGTCGATGGATATTTTATGGTGTGAGTGATGTATATTCATGTTTGCACACTTGTAGGGTCATTGTAAGCTTCTTTTAATCCACGTTGTCCAGGATTGGCAAATACTTACTGGAAAGGCTGTGTCCATAATAAAACCTTTTTTTTTTGTATAGAGGCAAAACGAATGTCTCGAGAGCTGCCCACCATGCAAACTCGTACATCAGAAGAGTAGAAGCAGCTTCAGGCTAACACTGTCCTGGCCATGCCTCTGACACCTTTTGGCCCACCCCTGGTGTGTTGGTCACAGACGTCCATGTCTAAGACCCATGGGTGGGGAGAAATGTGTCAGGAGCATGGCTAGGAAGGAGTTAGACTGAGGCTGCTACTGTTCTTCTGATGTGCAACTCTCAGGAGATTCTTTTTTGGCTCTATACATTGCATGTAGTCGGGATGGAGACTCAACCAAGCCAGCACACTCAGTGGACCCCACCGGGCTTGGCTGTATAAGCCAGAGCAGGGACCTGAAGCTTTCATTAGGTTCACAGAACCTTTGCTTTGTTTTATATCACAAGGAAAGGACCATGGCTTTTCTTCCACATAGTTTGTCCTACCTTAAGGTAGAGGTGAGAATGTGGGACAAGACTATATTGTCTGTATTTGCAGAGACCGGCAGAGTTTTCTGGTAATCCCCGGACAGCTGTAATTATATTAACAATGTTTTGTGGTACTTCATCTACTTTATTGCCAGATTATACACACACCTATACTGCACCTGTGTTCTCGATATATAGTTGTCTCTGGTCTTGAGAAAACCGACAAATTAAAGGCGAACTACTTGCAGTAATAAGCCATAATAGCTGCTTACCTGTGTCTGTATCTTGATTGTGTGTTGTAGAAGAATCAACAATCCACCTAATATTGTAGCCTGATGTAACCCCAAAGGCCTGTTTTGGAAATCAAAAGTTCTTGTTAATATTCAGGACCATGCTAGCCTTTGAGGCACAAATGGAACCATTCTTTAAAAAGGTGGCTGTAGCAGGAACTTGAACTGGTTTGGGATAGAGGAGACGGTTGACCTGCATAGGATAGGGATGACTTCCCAGGAAGGTTTCATCTCGCAGCTTTTCGTACCTTTTCCAAAAAGATATTTGGGAGTGCTCACTTTTGGATTAAATCATCCATTCTGCAATGGCTAGTGATGTCCCCAGTAGCTTATGTAGCTCAAGCAGGCTCATTGGGCTATCACTCCTGGCTTTGATCCACTTCTGCCTTTCAGGTATTCCTACACGATATTATTTTCTTTTTGTTTTCAAAAGATGTAAATGTGGAGGTCTCTGGCATGTGATTCTATAAATGGAAGGCCTATGCTGCATTATTCACATATTCATCTTAAACCTCCTGGCAAATTATATACAGATAAGAGATCCTATTCAACAGATTGCACTGCTCCAGTCCAACATGGTGGCCGGTCATGTGATCTGTGCTAAAATTCAGGGTCACACCTCAGAAGGATTTATTGGAGAAGAAGAGAATGGTGCAGTGCTACGATCTCCTCTGGTAATAATCCATAGGTGCTCTAGAACTGGTGCTGTGACCAAAGGGTTGCTGAAGCCTCACACGTAGTTTATTCCAGGAGATAAGCCGGCACAACGATCTAACGGTACGAATATTTCAACGCGTTTTGGCCATTAGACCTTATTCATGAGTCATGAATAAGGTCTAAAGGGCTGAAATGCGTCACATGTTTGTGGCTGTATTCCTCTGCACCAAATAAAGTCATCATTTTGCAGATTTATACGGCTTATCCTCTGAAATATTCATTGACTAACTTATTCTACCTGAATGTCAGTTTCTTATACTCCAGCTAAGTATTGTCCATTGTTTGGTCACTCGGCTAGTAGCCATGAGAGCCTGTAGCAACAGTACGCTTAGGATAGGTACCCGTTTACTGTTCATTCGTATTGGTTTCTAAAATTGTACGCCTGATATTGGCATAGGAGTCTATCAGACTTCCAAATAAATGGCTTTTATCATGTTACATTAGGTTGTACGCTTATCATACAGAAAAAAAGAATTGATCAAGCCTAAGGCTACATTCACACTTGAGTTTTGGCTTCTTCAAATGATTTTGAAGCATTTTTATGCATGTGTTTCATGCTTTTTTTTTTTTTAAATCATTTTTCTTAAGGTCAAGGGAAAGCAAATTACTAGGAGACTGACGTGAAAATGTATGGAAATTGCATATTACGCAATTTTCTGAGGTTCTCCCATTGACACGGCCATAAATATGTGATCCTGTTCATAAATGGCTCCTGCATTGCTTTGGTGCAACAACCAACAGAACATTGCCCAGACGGGTACACGACCCATAGAATGAAATCAAAATTTACTGTCCAGTGTTGTCACACTTCTGGAAATGCACAACTAATCGCTCAGGTGTGAAACAGAGGCTAAAATTTAATCATTGCACTCAAAAAGGTCACTGTCACTTGCAGACAAATGACCTCAACTCAAACCTCTAAACCAGGTTTTCTCAATCAGGGTTCCTCCAGGGATTGCTAGAGTTTCCTTGAGTAAGGAGCAATTTCTGCCTATCAGATAAGCTCCTGCTGACATCACTGATCTGATCTTTTTTAGGCATCTTTTAGGGGGTAATTCTTCCCAATGACCACAAATGCAAGGAGCATTCTTCCCATTGACCATCACACTAATTTATCATGAGCTGTAGATCTACTCATGCTTAGCAGGGGTTCCTAAGACCAGAAAGTTATTTCAAGGGTTGCTCTGTTTTAAAAAGTTGCTCTAAACCTAATTTTTAACCTAACCCCTAATGCTGACCATGCAAGAAATAACGCATCACTCTGTTTTCCAGATCCCCAGATGAAGTTGAGACCTTCTCTGTAGAATGCATAGGGGGTGGGCAGGGAGTGGGATAGGCTGAACTCTGAAAAGACAATCTTGGGCAAGTCTTGTTTTGATAAGAGGTTAGTCAACTTTGTTAGCACTGGGACTTAGTTGCCACAAAAGAGTCATAACTGGCCAGGAAACCTCCAAGGTAGTAAGTGGTGAACCCAAGTGAGATAAGGTCATGCGAAGAGGAAATGTTGAGGGCCCTAGACTTGGCATAATCACCTTCCAGGCCAGAGATCTGTGCAAAAAGCTCTCAAGTGTAGATAAGGTTAGGAGAGGAGATGTGTAGGGAGGTTTTAAAGAGAACACCATCCGAATACAGGCTGAGAAGAAACTGAAGAATCCATCATACATTTGGTCATTTTAGACAATCCCAATCCAAAATAGATTGCTCAGAGCAGTAAAGCAAAAGATCCATTTTGGTTGAATTCTACCAATTTTTTTTTTTTTTGTAAATCATCACTTATCAATTGAATGGCTCCAACTGGTGCCTTCAATTCTTGAATAATTCCTTAATCGCATGGAATGATCACGCTATATTTGTGACCAGTGCAATGTAATCATTACAACTCAAAATCTGTACTATCAAGGACATAAACTTTATATTATTACAGGAGTATTACTAACAGAAAAACAAATTTCAGAGAAAATAAATGATTGAATGAAACGATTTGCCAACTTGGTTGCAAAACACAGAAGTATCTGCATCAAACTGAACCAATAGGGACTTTTTTCATCTGTATATAATGTAGCAAGAGGGTTGGGGTAGATATGGGGTGGTTAATACAGCACAGGCCCACTGTGAAGAAATCCTAGGCTGAAAGGAATACGTAGGGTGCCACTGCAGACCTCCTTCTGAATATGCTAGTTGCCTGGCTCTCTGGTTTTAATACGTTGAGTCACTGGGCTGAAGCAAATGCTCAGATTCCAGCCATGCTCATTATGTGTGTGCGTGTTTAGGTCAGTCACTCAAAATCTATAGAAAAGGATGAGAGCACCACAAGGTGAGATTAAAGTGGCTCTAAAGTCAAAATATGAATGAATTCCCTGCATTAAGACAAAATATGTCCCTGTAGCTTAATTCCCCCCCTGCTCCAAAATACCTGCTTGAATCCTCACTCGATCCATCACTGTGCCCACCTGTAACAGCTCTCTCTGCTCTCAGAGGACCCACAGGCAGCAGCAGGAGCCATTGGCTTCTGCTGCTGTCAGGTGAGGCCGAACCATGATGTGTGCTTCTGAGAAATCACACAGCCCAACTCAGGAGCGTGCCCAGTCTTTGCCCCCATAGCACACAGCTTGCTATGAGGGTACACTCAGAAGAGGAGAAGCAGAGAGCACTGGCAAGGGGGACTCTAGAAGAAGAGGCAAGGAGCCACTCTGTGTAATGGTAGGCATTTATTATTCTCAACAAATGGTCAGAAAGCTTCCAATGCGTTTCAGTGGCTCACATACCCCCCCTTCTTCATCAGAGAAGTAATTCCAGCCTGACAGCTGTTTGTTGTGAATAATAATTGTTTACTGGTCCTAAGCGTAGGTTGTGGTGCTCTCATCCTTTTAGACTGCTCTGAGGAGCTCCAGGAATGCCTCGGCTGACAGAACAACCTCCAAAGGTTGGGATCAATACCCAATCTCATGCACATCTCGGTCAAGGCCAGTGACTCAGGAAGTATTGAAGCCATTGGATTACCATGGCATTTTTGGAAAAAGTTCACAATGACAGGCTATATGTTCTCTCATAAACGTAAAAGCATTAAAGCATTTGATTTAGCAGAGAGTGATCAAGGGAATCATTCCTCAATGAGTATGCTACGGTTAAAGAAATCAAAGACCGTATTGCAATCTTTGCTTCCTGTAGCAGCCAATAAAGCTGTTCCTTTTTTTTCCCCCCATACTGCACAGAAAAAGAAAAAAAAAATTCCTGTTGCTATTGGTAACTGAAACAGTTCATTCCTCAGACAGTTTATTAAAGAGGCCATTTGTTAACTAGGCAGGAGGAAGCTGTGACCGCTGTGGGTGGTTTAGCAGTCACTATGGCCAGTAGCTGTTGCTGGAGTTTTCCTGATCCATGACATACTGCTACCTAGATCCTCACCAGTAATAAGGGGAATTCTATGTCTTTAGATATACAAGAGGGAAAGTGTGTAGCATCTTTTCTGTCTAATGAAGCCTTCGTTTCAAACCAGTATAGCATTTGTAACTCTGTATATTTTCATTAGCTATTATATATTCTTTTAATTAGATTTTTTAAATATTACTGTATGATTAAATATCTTGAAATATGTATTTTTTTGTTATATTTTTGAAATTACCAATCAATGCACAGGGGTTTCATTAAAGTGTATGCGTGGCCTATGCGATGTGGGGGCAGCCATCTTGTCACAGATCCAATGTGCTTGTTAGTGACGTTTTGGCCTTGTGTATCAGAAAAGTCTATGGAAATCGGAAGAACCAATCCATTCCAGGCTTCAGTTTTTATTGTATGTTGCTTAGAACGTTCAAGGTTGGAATCGAATTGTTTGCCACGTGCATCACCGCCATTTTCTTTTGGAACACCCCATTCATAATGGCTTCCTTTGCTGTACTTTAGGTTAAGAATGCACTTTAAAAAAAGTTTAATCAAAACACAATGGATGGTGGATGATATAAATGAGATGTGCAGGACCAAAGTGATGCACTTGTTGAGTCTTTTGAATGAAGCATCTTTCAAATAAAAGTCTGTATAGTATTTTAAATCCTGAGTTTGTGTTTTCAGTTTTAGCAAAATTAAAGGGGGAAAAGTATGACCACAACTCCCAAGACTCGACTCCAGTCTGGAAGGTTGCCAATTCTCGACTTGATTCTGACCTCACACATGCATTTAGTGCCACAGAGGTGGGCTTTTCTGATTGGCTACCGCACATCCAATGATCTGTGCCGAGAGTGTGCTCATTCGGTGCTTCTAGCACAGTGACTGACCTGTCACCAATCAGTCTCGGTCGCTGTTTACATTTGGGAGTTGGGGACGTGTGCAGCCAAAAAAGGTGTTCAAAATGTCCCTCTGCAGACATTCCACAATTCCTTTTGTCAGAATTTTGTTGACTGTAGTCCAGGGGTGCTCATCTTTTGAGGGAGGCCCACTTAAGTGATTTGGTAGCCAGTCACGGGCCTTAATGAAATGGTTTATAATTTAGATTTTTTTTTTTAATAGCATAATGAACATTTTCCTTCTGCAGCTGCTGATTGCTGGCGAGAGGGGGGGGAAAAAAAACAGCTTTCAGCGGTTGCAGGAGGAAAATGGAGAGGGATAGGCTCCTGTATATGCCTCCCCCACACCCCTCCTGTCCAAATGTAAAACAGAATGTGACACGGAGGCTGCATGGGCCCCCTGGAGCATGGGTCGGGGTTGCCATTGCGACCCCTGGTGCTACACCAGTGATTGCTGGGTGTTGTGAAAACACTTCTCAACTATGGAGTTTTAACATCCCCCCCCCCCACAAACTGCAAATGTAAACGAGCCCATGCTGTCCTGAGCCCCCTATAAGGCTGCTCTCACACTGATGTGCAGCATTTTGCCTACATAGTGGGTGCTGTACAGTGCACCTGCGACTTTCCTGCTGGTTAGCTGCACTTTGCCATGACTTCTGTTATATCATTTGGTAAAATTTCATTTGGCAAAACTCCTGCAGTTAGTTTGAGGTGGAGGGGCACATCAATGGGCTCCGAGGGCCACGGGTTGAACAGGCCATGGGTTGTGCAGCCCTGCTGTGGAATCGGACCTATAAGTCTACAAGGACAGAGGTTGGGGAGCTGGACTCAGGTTTAGCTTTCATCCAGTAGAAGATGATGGTAGTTTTCATTAGCTTGCCTTTGTCCGCTTGTGGAGTCAATTCCATTAGATGTGTGCCACCTGACTCAAGCACCAGATGATCACATGAAATGTCTGTATAACTTTACTCTTGACTAGGAATTGACAATTAGTAGACGAGAGTAGCCAACGTGTTTCAGGCTCAAAACATCCTTCTTCATCAGGGCTTGGGCTTTTATGCCAGAATTCCTACAGTATATGGACTATAGTCCACTTTCCTTGAAGGGGGTTTCCCTTGGAGGATCCTTTGGCCCCAGAAACACATTGAAAACTACTTGTCTACCTTTTTTCAATTGATAATCTAGAATAGAGTTATACGGATATTTGATGCGATCCTCTGGTGCTCGAATGTTTTTCTTTTTGGGATTCCACAGAATCAACAGACCTTTGCAGAGAGACTACTGCTTCCACACAGAGTACAAGGGTACTTCTCTGCAGCATGCTCACCGTGGACAGGCTGTGGCTGCTTTCTACACAGACACTAAACGCCTTTTTGTCTTGATACTCTTAAAATGTATTTACAGAGGGCGGAGCCTGGCCATGGGACAGTATGGCCGCTTAAGCAGGAGCTTCAGCAGAGATCAGCAACCTCAGTGCAGGGCCGCGCAACGAAACATCTCACTGACTGCCTGCACAGTCTCCCCTCACCAGCAGGATGACAGTGAGCACCTCTACTCGCTGATCAGTGGGGTCTACACAACCCAAGCGGCTCACTGATTTCCTCCCTGTAGCCAACAACATGGCGGCTCCAGGAGGGGGGAGAGAGCAGACAAATATGGAGTGTGCTCCCTCTTCACAACCACCTCTGCAGAGCAGTCCTGGACCAAAGCCTGCAGCAGCTTCCACACACACAAGATGAAAACTCACAAAAGCGTCCTGCCAATTCTGCTGCTGCCTCCCCACTCTCCAAAGAATCGGTGAGCAAAAAAACATCTATTAATGGGGACACTGAAACCGCCGCCGTCTAGAGTCACAGCAGCCATTCCCAGAATTCCCTGCATCTGAAAATACCATTAAGGAGATGCTTCTCTCTCCTAACCACTTCAAGTCCGGACACTTTCAGCCCCTTCCTGCCCAGGCCAATTTCCAGCTTTCAGCGCTATCACACTTTGAAGGACAATTGCGCGGTCATGCAACACTGTACCCATATGAATTTTTTTAGCATTTTGTTTGAGACAGATAAAGCTTTATTTTGGTGGCATTTATTCACCACTGGGATTTTTATTTTTTTGCTATATAAATGAAAAAATCCAAAAATTTAGAAAAAAGTTTTTCTTAGAAAATTTTGCAAAGAAATAATCTTTCTTTATAAATCTTGGCCAAAATATATTCATCTATCTTTTTAGCAAAAAAAAAAAAAACCCAAAATTAGTTTATAACCAAAAATTGTCATTTAAAAAAAAAAAATGTTTACATTTTTATATATTTTTTTAACATACTGTCACCTTAGCAGTACAGTGTCACCATAGTGAAACTGTACTACTTGTGGGGGGTGATGATTTTTTTTTCTTTTCTTTTTACACTGATTGCTTTTACACCCATAAGGCTGTAAAAGCAATCAGTTCTCCTCTCTGGCTGCATTCCTGCAGCCATTGAGAAATACTGCGAGAGCTGTGATTGGTCACAGCTTGTCACATTGTACAAGGCTGTTGTGAATAGCCCTGTACCATGTGACCTCTGTGATCATTCACAGATTTCACAAGTAGTAAGCAATGATGTCAGGAAGTGACATCTTGTTTACTACTGTTCACGTGATCACTGATTGGCCAATCAGTGATCACGTGATTGGGACTTCACACAGAGGTCCCATACAGCAATCTGTGCTCTGCTGTGTCTGGAGGACACAGCGGGCACCGATCGTGGTGCCGCGTGCTCCCAGGCAATGGATGCGGGGAGACTTTTATAAACATCCACCCGCATCGGCAGTGCTCCCGTCCGGCCGTTTATCGACATGGGCCAGACTGGAAGAGGTTAAATAAGATTTACCGGTAGCTCTGCGAAAAAACCTTTTCAATTTACAGTCCCATATTGAGCAAGTAGAGGAAAGGGTGGACAGTGTGGAAAGAAAAATGAGAGAAGTTGCAGAAGCACATCATAGCATGGTAGATGGGTTCCAGGAGCAAAAACACAACATCCAGTGGCTGAAAGCTGAAACTGCAGATCTCAGAAAGAGATCGAGAAGCAATAATCTGAAATTACAGGGGACTCCTGAGTCTTTCACCACAGGGGAGCTTATCCCTTTTTTGCAGCAATTCCTCCCTACGGAAAACCCTAAAGGACTTTGTTATCGATGAAGCCTACAGGCTAATCAAACCTCCCTTGCCGCTACCAGACTCTGTGTCTAGGGATGTGATTGCAAGGATTCATTTTTCACATTAACTACTTCCAGTCCGGACACTTTTACCCCCTTCTTGACCAGGGCAATTTTCAGCTTTCAGCGCTATCACACTTTGAATGACAATTGCGCGGGTCATGCAACACTGTACCCAAATGAATTTTTTACCATTTTTTTGAGACAGATAAAGCTTTATTTTGGTGGTATTTATTCACCGCTGGGATCTTTATTTTTTTTTGCTATGTAAATGAAAAAGTCCAAATTTTTTTTAAAAAAGTGGGTTTTTTTTAATAAAATTTTGCAAATAAATAATATTTCATCATAAATCTTTGCCAAAATTTATTCCGTTATCTTTTTAGTGAAAAAAAACACCCAAATTAGTTTATAACCAAAAATTATAATTTTTAAACTTTTTTTTACATTTTTTTTTTTTTTTTTTTTTACATACTGTTACCTTAGCAGTACAGTGTCACCATGGTGACACTGTACTACTTAAGGGGGGTGATGAAGATTTTTTTTTTTTTTTTTTTTTACACTGATTGCTTTTACATCCTATATGGGTGTAAAAGCAATCATTTCTCTTTCTCTCTGTGTGCATTCTTGCACTCATTGAGAAGTACATGGTACAAGGTTGTTGTGAATAGCCTTGTACCATGTGACCTCTGTGATCATTCACAGATTTCACACGTAGTAAGCAATGATGTCACAAGTGACATCTTGCTTACTACTTTGCATGTGATCAATGATTGGCCAATCAGTGATCACATGATCGGGACCTCATACAGAGGTCCCATCTGACGATCGGTGTTTCACTGTGTCCGGAGGACACAGCGGGCACCAAATTGCGGTGCTGCGCGCTCCGTTTATAAACGGCCACCTGACCCTGCACTGCCACCGTCCGGCCATTTATATGCAACGGCCGGTCGGGAAGTGGTTAAAGAACGGGCCTTCCTAGCTGCCAGACGGATTCCCCAAGTTTCACATTTTTGTTGACCTGTTTGCTGCCACTATACAGCAAAGCAAAAGATTTTTTTCCATATCCGCACAACTACGTGAGTGAGCATAACATCACCTATAAATGGGGCTTTCCTACTAAAATCACCACAACACACCAAGGTCATACCTATGTTTAACCGCTTCCCGTGCACCCAATAGCAGAAATACTGCTACGAGGCGATACGGGGGCGCACAATCACGTATATATACAGGATTTTGCATTTCTGGGTAGGGGGCGCATGCCCTAGCCACACTGCCATTTGTGGTCACGCCTGTCAATCACTGGGTCCCGGCCAGCGATTGCAGAGCATCTCTGACAAGAGGGAGAACTGTTCATAAACAAAACCGTTCTCTCCGCTGTCAGCTCCTACACACTGCTTTGCATGGCTGTGCATAGCACAGCCATACAAAGCAGTGTGCTTACAGTGAAGCAAAAACACACAGTCCCCATAGTAAAACGCACAGTTGGCCCTTTGATCGCCCCAGACGTTAACCCCTTCCTGCCCAGTGCCATTAGTACAGTGTCAGTGCTTTTTATTAGCACTGATCAATATATTGATGTCATTGGGGATGTCAGTGACACCAAGTCAGTTGCCCCCCCAGTGTCAGAATGTCCACCGCAGTCCCGCTATAAGTCACTGATCGCTGCCATTACTAGTAAGGAAAAAAAAAAATCCCAATATATATACTGATATTTGTAAACGCTATAACTTTCACGTAAACCAATTAATTTACACTTATTGGGATATTTTTTTTTTTAGCAAAGACATGTCGCAGAATACATTTTGGACTAAATTTATCACGAAATTTGATTTTTAATTTTTTTTTTACTAGACACGTTTAATAGCAAAAAGTCAAAAATGTTTTTTCTCAAAATTGTTGGGGTTTTTTTGTAGCTCAAAAAATAAAAAACCGTTCAGGCAGTCAAATACCACTGAAAGAAAGCTCTATTTGTGAGAAAAAAGGACATAAATATTCATCTAGGTGCAGTGTTGCATGACCACGCAATTGTCAGTTAAAGTAACGCAGTGCCGTAACACAAAAAATGGCCTGGTCAGAAAGGGGGGGGGGGGGGGGGGATCCTTTGGAGGGCAAGTGGTTACGGATCTCCGGAGGAAGCAGATAAACTCCCAGCCCAGTGGGGTATCAAAATTGACCGCAACCGCAACCCCATCCACACTAAGGTGTCAGTTTATGAACCAGCGGTAATAGATCGCTGCTCAGTTCTCCTGTGAATGCCTTTTATGAAGCAGTTCACCGAACGAAGGGAGAAACGGTCTACAAACGATGGAGAACGGTCTCCAAACGCTGGAAAACGGCTGATTTTACTATAATCTCGCGAGATTACAGTAAAAGATCAGTTTACTAAGCAGAGGTAAATTATCACTGCTTAGTTTGCGGTCTCTCTGATTCTCCAGCTCTGGGCTGGAGAATCTGGAGGGAGAACACAGATCTCCAGTGAAGGGCTGAACATGTTCTCCGCTGATCTCCTGAGTGTCATAAACTGTGAATGACCAGAGAATAGCTGCGATCCTCTGAATCACAGCTATTCTCTGTGTCATAAATGGACACCTAAATCTCCTAAACACATTTCTAGCGTCTGGTCCTCAGTAGGTGACACTTGAAGAGGTCTCTGGAACATCCCTTCCTCTAATATGTTCACATTTTGTGCCTCTTATAAATCAAAAATATGTCGCTTGTTAAAGTAACTTTTGATCCCGGAATGCTGTACTCCTCTTTTCAAGCCTCAGTCCCAGTTGTATGTGTTACATGCCCCTTTCCAACTTGTATTTTCGAAAAGTGACCCTTTACCTAGGGTTCTCAGTTCTACTCACTTTCTGTTTATGGTTTACATCACTGGTCTCCAAACTGCAGCCCGAGGGCCAGATGTGGCTCTTTGCTTCATTTTTATCCAGTCCTTGGGGAATTATTCCCTAACTGTCAGCAACCGGGGGCATAGTTTCTGCCACTGACACCAACAATGGGGCACTATTCCTCCCACTGACACCATGATGGGACACTATTCCTCCCACTGACACCAATGATGGGACACTATTCCTCCCACTGATACCAATGATGGGGCACTATACCTCCCACTGATACCAATGATGGGACACTATTCCTCCCACTGACACCAATGATGGGACACTATTCCTCCCACTGACACCATGATGGGACACTATTCCTCCCACTGACACCATGATGGGACACTATTCCTCCCACTGACACCAATGATGGGACACTATTCCTCCCACTGACACCAATGATGGGGCACTATACCTCCCACTGACACCAATGATGGGGCACTATACCTCCCACTGATACCAATGATGGGGCACTATACCTCCCACTGATACCAATGATGGGGCACTATACCTCCCACTGATACCAATGATGGGGCACTATACCTCCCACTGATACCAATGATGGGGCACTATACCTCCCACTGATACCAATGATGGGGCACTATACCTCCCACTGATACCAATGATAGGGCACTATTCCTCCTACTGATACCAATGATGGGGCACTATTCCTCTCACTGACACCAATGATGGGGCACTATTCCTCCTGCTGATACCAATAATGGGACACTATTCCTCCCACTGATACCAATGATGGGGCACTATTCCTCCCACTGATACCAATGATGGGACACTATTCCTCCCACTGATACCAATGATGGGACACTATTCCTCCCATTGATACCAAATGATGGGGCACTATTCCTCCCCCACTGATACCAATGATGGGGCACTATTCCTCCCACTGACACCAATGATGGGGCACTAATCTTACCGCTGATACCAATGACGGGGCACTATTCCTCCCACTGATACCAATGATGGGGCACTATTCCTCCCACTGATACCAATGATGGGGCACTATTCCTCCCACTGATACCAATGATGGGACACTATTCCTGCCACTAATACCAATGATGGGACACTATTCCTCCCACTGATACCAATGATGGGGCACTATTCCTCCCACTGATACCAATGATGGGGCACTATTCCTCCCACTGATACCAATGATGGGGCACTATTCCTCCCACTGATACCAATGATGGGGCACTATTCCTCCCACTGATACCAATGATGGGGCACTATTCCTCCCACTGCCACCAGTCATGAGGCTTTTTCTACTCCCGCTGGCCACAGTCCGGACTCCCCTAAAGATTGAAGGACAGTAAACTGGACTTGTTTAGAAAGTTTGGAGACCCCTGGTTTACATGTTACTTACATGTTTTGTATCTTTTGTACTCTGTGTACCACAATAGTGCTCCTTAACAACATAGCAGCTACCTCTGATACCATATTAATACTATAAAAGAAGCATAAATGGACAATTGCTGTTCTAGGGTTTATAAACCTACAATGCTACTCCAAGCATATTCCAGATTTTTCTCATGTCTTTGAAAATAACTTCTCTAAATGTTAACGGTCTCAGTAGCCCATTTCAAAGGTCCATGATGTGGAAGGAAGCCCTATTCTAAAAATGTGACATATTTTGTGCACAGGAGACACACTTGCGTACCGCCTCTCCACCAAAAATATCACATCCTAAATTTCTTTTCTGCTTTTTCCCCAAATGCATAACAAAAAAAGAAAGAGGGGTTCTGATCGTAATAAGGGACATGGGGGTATTCATTATAGAATGTGACAAGAATGGCAGATACATCATTCCAGGCGCATTAATCAATCACCAGCCTTACACGATTGTCACATTATATGTCCCTAATACCAAACAAAAGTCATTTCTCCACAAACAGATTGAGAAAAATCCAATCTGTCTGTATAGGTCGCCTTATCCTATGTGGAGGTTTTAATGAAGTGCCAGATACGGACCTAGACTCCACTAGTCACAACAGGCGAAACTCTCACATAACATCCATCCTGATGAAAGCTGAACACTTATACGATGCTTGGAGAAGCGCTCATGGTTCAGAGAAAGACTGTACCTTTTATTCAGCAGCGTTAAGGGTCTATTCTCGTATCGATCTTTTCCTGGTAGACAGAGATACATTATTACAAACTGATTCATCACAAATCGGCTTAATCACGTGGTCAGACCACACCCCGATCTCCATATTACTACAACTGGCAAATTCACCATCCATCAAAGGGATCTGGAGATTAAATACATCCATCTTGCATAATCCTAAATACCGGGAACAGATCGAATAGGAATTATCTGATTTTTTTCAAATTCAACTCAGGTTTGGTCGACATCATCTAATCATTGTGGTCTGCGCATAAGGCATACAGGGAGTCTTCATAAAATTGTGGGCTCAGGAGAAACGTAAGAGGACACAACTAATCACAAAACTCAGACGCGATACCCAGAACAAATCCCAATTCTCTCCAGGCAGGGCTAAACAAATAAAAGACTTGCGCCACAAACTATCTCAATGCTTTTTATCCCAATATGGTTTCTTTCTTAAACTAAATTATTATGCGGCAGGTAACAAAACTGGTTCATTCCTAGCGAACCAAATAAAAAAGAAATTAGCGAAAAGTTGGATTGCATATCTTTTGGACTCCTCAAGCAACCAATGTCAAAAACCCTGTTCATACAGACAATCAATTTGCTGAATATTATCCTAATCTCTACAATTTATGTCCAAACGATTCAACAGATTTTTCTAGAGACACACAAATTCAGCAATTCCTTAAGATGCTAAATCTACCAAAAACTTAATCAACCCAACTAACAAACCTCTCTATCCAATTTTCTGCTCATGAAATACAACAGGTAATACACACACTATTGTAAATCACATTTGTTTAGGAGGTGGTTTTTGATAAAATACACACACTACCCCTACACAAATCTCCAGGCACTGAAGGGTTTGGGAATGAGTATTATAAATCCGTCTCCACTCTTTTGATCCCACAGCTACAGCAATTGTATCACTGTTCAGCACTCTCAGCCAATTTC